TTTCTCTCGTTCTCTCTGCTCTTTCTCTATTTCTCTCTCACCCTCTGTCTCTCCCTCTCTCTCTCCCCCCTCTCTCTCTCTCTCTCTCTCTCTCTCTCTTCCCTTCTTACTTTTTGTGTGTATCTCTCTGCCTCATACATTCTCTCTCTTTCAAAATGTGGTAAAATACTCTTTTTTTTATATTTCTTTTCTTCTTTTGGCCACTTTTTCCATTTTCACTAGCTGTTGCCTCATCTGTCACCGGCCATCATTGCCATGTTTATCCTTTGATGCCCCACTTTTTGCGACAATAAGCCTCCATCTTCCCTAGTCGAAGCTTTAGCAGTCACTTGCAAGTTAAAAATCATACAATATATAACTTGTTTTGTATAACACATCAGACTTAAAACAACATTATTCATGATTATATAAATCTACAGTTGAACCTGTAGAAGAGAATCACCCATTTGCTACCTTAGAATTACAAAGTTATATCTGCTCAGTGCCTAGTTTTGAAAAATTTGACATAAAAAATGTTACATTTCACAAGATGTCAAGCTTTTTCAACTTCAATTCTTTGAATATCTTGATAATGACTCCAAATAATCTTAATACTTTGATAGATCAGAAAGAACATTGGTTGCTGACCTCATGGTCTCAGTAAGTCAAAACAGCCAAAATGTCCGATAGAACTTTGTAGTTTTGGGGTAGTGCATTCTCATCACAGGCCTGTGGAACTCTTGGACAGTGTCATTACAGTATGAAAAAACATGAGGTGGGAAGTTCTCGTTGTTGTTTTTTTGTAGGGGATTGTCTTGGTCAGGTGGTTGCTAGAGCAGGTTTGACTTTATTATGTCTAATGTTTCCTCCAGGTTTTGACGGTGAGATTGGAATGAATGGAGCTGCCGGTCCCGTCGGTCGGCCAGGTCCCCCCGGTCTGCCCGGTCTGGCTGGAGAACCCGGTCAGTCCATGAAAGGAGACAGAGGAGATATTGGTGAGTGCTTCAGGTTCCTATGTGTACTTGTATAGTCCCTTACATACTTCCCTTTTTTATTCTTTTAATCACTCATTCACAAATTCACTGATTCACTGACTGACTGACTGACTGACTGACTGACTGACTGACTGACTGACTGACTAACTGACTAACTGACTAACTGACTGACTGACTGACTGAATAATTGACTGACCGACTGACTGACCGACTGACTGACTGACTCACTCACTCACTCACTCACTCACTCACTCACTCACTCACTCACTCACTTACTCACTCACTCGATCACTCACTCACTCATCCACCCACCCACTCTTGTCACTCCATCATGTATTCTCCCATTCTCTGGCTTGCAGTTACTCTTTCATTCTGTCACAGTTCCACTACTGCTCTATCAAATGTTATGAGAACCTCACTTTCAACCTCAGCTTCTTTGTGTCCTAAAGCAAGACGAACGTGCCATACTAGAAAACTTGGCTTTATGAAGCAAAAAAAAAAAAAGTCCTACTAGTTTGAGTCAGAGACGAGGACTGATGATAGTACACAGGTGAAGGGATACTGACCACTGGACACAGCACAGCTGCATGACATGCTGAGTGACACTCACAAACATTGTGACAGATGAAAAAGCATGTGATCAGAGACTGCAAAAGAAATATCACCACAATTTACATCATAGATTACTTGGCTGTCTCACCTGACTTTTCCTTGATGCTTTTCAATAAATTTGCTCTGTAATTTATTTTCCGTGGCCCTTTTGACATCTTGAAGGATAATCTTAAAGCAGTATACATGACACAGCTTTGTCTGGGTGGGTAGACATGGAGGAGTAGATTGCCAAAGTACTTTTCCCGATCCTTTATTTCCTTGATATGCTCCAAAGGAAAGACAGGCAATACCTTTGGAATCAAGGAAGATGTAAGGGGAGTGGGGGGGGGGGGTTGTTTACTATCTCTCTTATCGGTGTGATAAGGATGTTTTATTTATGGTAGCAAATTTTTACAATTTTAAATTTTGACCACATGGTGGCCTACAATTTTCAACTATCAAAGGATATTTACCGTGCGCCATGTGCACATGACACCCTCAAGATTTTTTGGTCTTTTTCAAGAAGACTAGTTTTTCAGTCTTACTTGTTTGGAGGAAGAAGGAGCTTGAGTGAATGCTCTACAGTAGAAAAGGAGGTAAACTGTTAGTAAGTTCTTTCATTCTTCATTTCATCCTTGCCACTGCCTCCCCCCTTTTTCTTCCCTCACCCCACCCCTTCACCTACCAGGCGAGGATGGTCTGCGAGGTTTGGATGGAGAGCCCGGTTTCCCCGGTCTCCCTGGTGACCCTGGTATGCCAGGCGCCCCTGGAGAGGACGTTGTGGGTCCCCCTGGTGAGCGAGGTATTACTGGACTGGATGGAGTACCTGGCCAGCCTGGTTACCCCGGCGACTCTGGCCCACCTGGCATACCCGGTGGTCGAGGCATTGGACTGGACATCACTGGCCCTCGGGGTGCCCCAGGGCTCCCTGGTGACAGAGGAGATGAGGGAATCCCAGGACTGCATGGAATGCCTGGAGAGATTGGACCAACTGGTACGTCAATTGTTATCATAATAGCTATGATAATGATGATTTTGATAATAATAATAATACTAATTGTAGTAATATTACTTTTTATGTTAAAAAAGTTTTAATAATAATAATAATAATAATAATAATAATAATAATAATAATAATACCAGTAGGTCTATGACAGTAATAATAAGGATGATGATAATAATATTAATAATAATAATGATAGTAATAATAATGATAATAATAGCATTGATAGTAATGATAATAATTGTAATAATAATAATAATAGACCTAATAATAGTAATAGTAATAGAATTGATAGTAATGATAATAATAATAATAATAATAATAATAATAATAAATATTATGTCATATTTCGGAGAATGTCTGCTCGTAGTGACTTTTGAAAAGAGTTTTATTAGATATGGTTAATGGAATTTAAGTGAAGTTTTGTTGACCAAGAACTTTCTCCTTGAAAATTTTTTTAATGAACATTGTGTCACTATTTGGGCAGTTCACGGAATTGGTCCTGAAATTAGGAATTCTCTATTCACACACAAATATCTTTTATACTTATCTTCAAATAGCTAAAATTGTAGGCCTAATGATAAGAATGCAAAAGTGTTACTGTTTAAACATTCATCACTTATCTGACTTCATGGTGCCCATATAATAGAGTTATGAGATTTGTTTTCGCTGAGTGAAGTTCAAGCTGTGCTGTTATTTTAATTGGGATTGTTTGCTTGTTCATTTTTTTTTAACTTTTAGAAGAAAGATTTGTTTGTATATACATATTTGTTTGTTTTTTTGCTTTTCATGATAAGAAAGATGTATTTGTGCATTAAGATTAGATATGTTTGTACGAAGAGAAAATAGTGCAGATAGAATTATATATTTGTGATAAAGAAATATATGCTTGAGCACAAATAAAAATATTTCCGTGTAAATAGAATTATGTGTTTGTGGATAAAGAAAGATATGTTTGTGCATTAAAAAAATATGTGTTACAACATGGTGGAATCAAGTTAAAGACAAAAATTCGATAAAAATTGCCAGGGAAATGCTGGTTTCTTCAATTTAATTATTTTGATGAGTGCCTGATTTCACCACAATAACTCACATATGTTTGTGCACACAAAAAGGATATGCTAGTGTATATAAAGTAATATGATTAATCATTTTCCTTCTCTTCTGATTCTGTTTGTTAAGGATTTCCTGGTGAGAACTGTGGTCGCTGTCCAGATGGTGTGCCAGGATTTGTCGGTGATGTTGGTGAACCTGGATACCCAGGTGAGTAGAACTTGCCAGATTCAGATTGAAAAGTGCCGAATGAGCTGGATGAAAAATCTGTCGGTCCATTTTTTGTAGGTTGAGGTTCATTACCTCTCAAACAAAGTGATTCGTACGGTATAAAGACATGTCTGCATAAGGAAAAGACTGTTTTATCATTTTTCGATCTAAAAAATAACCCTCGCTCTTCTGTCCTTCGGGAAATGGTCAATAACTTTCTACCAGTTGAAAAGTTTTACAAGTACTTTTTCCCCTTTTTTGATGCGATTTTTAGAAATGATTTGTTATTTAACTTAGAGCACTTAGGAAAGTACTATTGCAAAAGAACTTCCCTTATAAGTAACAAACTTTTGTCTTTTCATATTGTATTTTAAAAGCTTGTTATGTTAAGGACTAGTTAAGAACATCGTTCTGGTATAAAGAACAGTTGAAATTGTCCAAGACAGTCACCCATTGTTGGAGAGAAAGGTGATTTGTTTTAGGAAAATGGACATCTTGGAAGTGTCATTATATTTTTAAAAGCAAAGTGGGGTATGTGGGGGCGGGGGTGGAGTGGGGAATGGAGTGTAATATTTTGTACGCCTGATTGTCTTGGAAGGTTGGCAGATAGAGCCTATTCAATTATACATAAATATCTATAGTGTTTTTCAAAACTCATATTGCAGGAGAGCAGGGTGGAAAGGTATCGATCTGTTATGCCTTATGATTTTTAAAATTCGTTTTGCAGGAGAGGAGAGCAGGAGAGATATTGATCCGTAATACCTTATCATTTGTAAAACTCATTTTCTAGGAGTGGAGAGCAAAAGGGGTATCAATCTGTACAATGCCTCATAATTTTGTAACTTGTTTTGCAGGAGAGGAGGGCAGGAGAGGTATTGATGGACTTCCAGGCTTCAAGGGCGACGTTGGTGAGGCTGGTCAGCCTGGGCCCAGAGGTCGTGATGGACTTCCAGTAAGTTGTAGAGAAAGGCTTCATTTCTATGCAGAAATGCTTCTCCTTTCAGTGAATAATTTCCAAATCAACTGAAATACCTAGCCGGGTTTATATACTCGTATAATGAATATGAGCAAACCAACGAGAAAAAAAGGACTTCCAATGAATTCGGGTTTATTAAATATTCCTCTCAGGTTATTCATTGTCTGCATTCTTTTAAAAATTAATGTAACATACTTAAATTGGATTGCTACTTTTACCATTTTATTATTCGTAAGAGCATTTATAATAGATTTACTCTCACTTTTGATTTTTAAATGAATCAATTATAAAAAATATGAAATAATGATACTTTTACAATTTTGTGAGGTGTCTTTAAATTTTGTAGACCACTTAATTTTCAGCTTTCTCATTTTGTATTGACAAATGCTGCTATTTGTTGGAAGGCTTGCCTTGCCAAGTTTCCCTTTTTAAAAAGTTTACTTAGTTGTTGGTGTTGTGTCGAAGGTGGGTAAAACAGTGAAGAAGAAGAAGAAGAAGAAGAAGAAGAAGAAGAAGAAGAAGAAGAAGAAGAAAAAGAAGAATGATGATGATTTGATAATAATAATAATTATTATTATTATTGTTATAACAATTTAAGCATACAGTGCAAGCAGCTGATTGAGCAACTGACAAGACATTTCACTGTCTTTTTCCTACCCATTCCCTCCTGGGTGAAATAAGGAAAATTCCTGTAAACAGCCTTTCACAAGGACACACATCGGGCCCTTGATTTGCAGTAACAATCAATCACTTAGACGTTGTGTCAATTGGGGTGCAAAACACTTACGGTCATGATCCCTTTCAGTTACCATCAATCACTTTGATGTTGTGTTGATGGGGCGGTGTAAACACTTACAATAACGATCACTTGCAGTCACAATCACTTACAGTCAAAATCTTTCACTTTAACATTGTGTGGATGGGGGCATATAACATTTACAATCATAGTCTCTTACTGTTACAATCAAACAATCACTGACAGTCACAATCACTTACAGTCACAATCACTTACAGTTACAATCACACAATCACTTACAGTCACAATCACTTACAGTTACAATCAAACAATCACTTATAGTCACAATCACACACAGTCACAATCACTTACACAGTTACAATCGCACAATCCCTTTCAGTCACAATCAATCACTTTGACATTGTGTGGATGGGGGCGTAAAACACTCACAATCATGATCACTTGCAGTCACGATCACTTGCAGTCACGATCACTTTGACATGTTCCAGGGTTTCCCCGGTCGCCCTGGTCCTGATGGGTTTGAAGGCCTCAAGGGCGCACCTGGAGATTCCGTTCCTGTCTACGATACTGAGCCTTACCGTGGCCCCACCGGTGAGAAGGGAGATTTGGGATACCCAGGATCCCCGGGTCTTGATGGATCCATGGGAGAGGTGGGACTCCGTGGATTGCCAGGTCTTTTTGGAGAGCAGGGAATGGAGGTAAGTGAAGCATCATTTTCGAAATTGTTCACCTTTTATGAGGGTTGGGGTTAGGGGGTCTGGGTTGGGGATGAGTTGAGTTTTAGGAGATGGAAGGAGGGGGGGGATTTTGCTTGTGGGATGTAAAAAAGGGTGGTTTTGTGGGGGGAAAGGGAGAAGGTCAAAATCAGGGAGAAAGAGAGATTATCCATCCTGTTTCTTTTCTTAATGACCCTGTATCTTTTCTTTCTAAGTCAGTGAATTTTTAGTTTGTAAATTTAACAATTTCACAGAATGGGTCAGGAAAAGAAATCGAATGTTTGTACTCTCTAATCTTTCAATTTCTCTCTCTCCTGTGAGGGTGGTTGGAGGGAGCCATGAGAAAATTTTTACTGCCTGTCATGTCTCATATTGTGTCTCTTGTCTTGCTTTTTCCCCTAGCATAAGATAATGATTATATTGTGTTTATTAGCTCATGTGACTATGTTCTGAAAAAACAATTCCACGTGAATAGCAGTTGTGCTCAAAATACTAGTTTGTGTTGATGTGTGGTAAAATTGAAGCTTTACTTGAACATCTGCAGTAATTTTAGTGGTGATTTGGTGACCAATGTGAGGTAATAGTGCTGCAAAACTGATGTTAACTTGCCAAATCTACCCAGCATAGACAGTGGCATTAGAAACGAGAAACAACAACAGGATCTGTGATGGAAACTTCTTCCTCCTGTTCCTACTATAGACAATATCCTACACAGCAGTAAAGAACAACTCTTGAAGACCTCCACCATTGGGCCAAAGGGGCCAAATGGGCCAAAGGGCACATGCTCAAAGGCTACTGCATAAAGTCTTAGAGGTTGACACATCTACTGACTAGATGCTGCATTATTGTTCGGTTGTTGTTTTTTCATGTTTTCCTCATTTATAAAAAATACCTGCTTGCCTATTCTTCAATAATGTCTTGATATTTCAATCGTTATTCTTTTCAAAAATTTTGATTGGTGCTTGAAACCTTTATTTTATATGCTGAAATTGCTAATGTGTACATATTTCTAATCAAACTTCTCATGATAAAGCATGGAATATGCTTACGACTTGCAAAAGTTAGCAACAACAATCATGAGACACGTACTAAGTTTACCTGGTACTCTCTCCCCTAGGGCGTACCTGGTATTCCTGGTGACGATGGTCTGGATGGTGTGCCTGGTATTCCCGGAGTGCCCGGTATCAAGGGAGAGGAGGGATCATCCCTGAATGGTCCCAAGGGTCAGAAGGGTATCAGCGGTATCCCTGGTCTTGATGGACTGCCCGGAGGAAGAGGACTGGAGGGTAAGTACCAGTGATTTTACGCCTTCGTCATATGTCATCTTGATAGTCCGTCCTTATTCATAGTAGGCTACATGTCTTCTTATTTTCTTAATGTGATGAGTATAGGCTTTTTAGATTGCCTTTTTAACCCCAGAAGTATTTTCCCCATTTTGAGGAATCTTTCTCGGATCTCATGAAATACGCTGTGGGGTATGCACTTTAAATGTTTATAAAACGGCTAAAATTGTGTCAAAACTGAAAGAGAAAGTAGCTTATATATTTATCTAACACTTCCAAGTCAGAATAAATCTATTCAGATTCGTAAGAGATTGTATTAGCAGTAATGCTTCACGCACATTACAATCTGATTGGATGCTGGGACCATCCACTGTGGGACCAGGCAAGTTTCACTGGACACTCCCATCGAGGTTATAGAGTTAACGCTAACGTCGGGGTTATAGAGTTAACGCTAGCATCGAAGCGGACTATCAAAGTACAATTGATGACATAGATTTATTTTTATTTTTCTCTGAGTCATGAGGCTGGTAAGGTCTTGTCTTTGGGTCACAGGACTGATTATCTTATGTAATGTACTGTATGCTTCCCAGAAAGTTGAGTTCATTTCAGAATGCTCTCAGGTCTGCTGGGGTAATAGTATTGATTTCTGAAGCGCATACAGCTTGCTGTTGAGTGGGGATTTGCGCTATGCAAATGCTATTATTATTATTATGATGATTATTAACATAGATTTCTCTGTGTCTTTGGGTCTAGGGACTGATAATCTCATTATCTAATTTGGTTACGTTGATTTATCCATGTCTGTGGGTTACTAGACTGGTAATGCCTGTATTTATTGTGGCTTCATAGATATCTCTGAGTGGTGGGACTGGTGATGTTTGTATCTATTGTGGCTACATAGATCTCTCTGTGTCTTTCTGCAGGTCTGCCCGGTGACCCAGGCTTCACACTGGAGGGCATGAAGGGAGAGCCCGGATCTCCTGGTGCCCCAGGGTTCGACGGAGAATTGGGACGCGAAGGAGTGCCAGGTAAGCATTGACTGTCCATGTTTTACAGCCCATCAACATATGTTTAGGGTTAGAAAGAAGAATGATTTGACTCTGCCTTTTTAGATTTAGGAGATGGGCTCCTTTGACCTAGCCCTTTAGGTTCTGGAGGCGGGCTGCTTCCATCTTATCTGGTAGATGTTGGAGGCGGGCTGCTTCCATCTTATCTGGTAGATGTTGGAGGCGGGCTGCTTCCATCTTATCTGGTAGATGTTGGAGGCGGGCTGCTTCCATCTTATCTGGTAGATGTTGGAGGCGGGCTGCTTCCATCTTATCTGGTAGATGTTGGAGGCGGGCTGCTTCCATCTTATCTGGTAGATGTTGGAGGCGGGCTGCTTTTCCCGCACCTTTAAGATTTAGAAGGTGGGCTGCTTGGACATTGCCTTTTAGGTTTTGGAGGCAGGCCGCATCTACCTTGCTTTTTAGGTTCGGAGATGGGCTATTTCAATCCGTGGTTAATTAGGCCAACTTGTGTTTAATGGGGTACAGAAACCCAACAGACAGGCGGAGATGCTGGATGGTGTCTTCATAATAAGGGAAATACTCAATGTTGAAAGTGGGAAGTCATTGTATTTTTTTGTGCAGATAAATTTCTTGTACAATTGGCCATTAGATGTGGTTCGACTATATTTGCATAACTGTGCCACAGTCAGTTTAGTGTTATTTAAATGACATTTTCTCACTATCTGAATATATTAAAAGTACACTCAACCAGTTGGATTCACTGGCCCCGAGTCCTGGCCAGCCATTTTGATGAATCCAAGAGTGGCCTTTAAATTCAAACGCGTTTGTTTTTCAAGGTCGTGAGTGTCGAATAGGTTGTATTGTACCAAAATGGTAGCGTTTTCCCTATCCAAGAAGGAAAGTCAGACTGGCCCCAACTCCGTTTGATAAATCTGACTGACAAAGTGCACAGGGTTTCAGAAACACAACTGGAGCTTGATGTTTAGAGATCTGCTTTTGTTGACTTTGTTATCGGTAGAAGAGGAAGATAGCTCTGGATGACACCCTCACCCCCCACCCTCCACTTTACCACCCTTAGGTCTTGCTGGTCTACCCGGTGACGATGGCCTGCCTGGCTTGCCAGGTTTCGAGGGAAGGGTCGGAGAACCTGGCCGTGATGGAGTTCCTGGCCAGCGAGGTGTTGATGGGCCTAAGGGTTACCCTGGATCGTCCGGTGATGATGGTGTGCCCGGACGCCCTGGCGTAAAGGGCATGTTTGGTGACGGTGGTTTCCCTGGCTTGCCTGGACGAAAGGTGACCTCTTTATGCATACAAAAGTTTCTCTCTTTCTCACACACACACACACACACACTCTCTCTCTCTCTCTCTCTCTCTCTCTCTCTCTCTCTCTCTCTCTCTCTTACTCTCAAACTTTCTCACTCTATCTCGCTTTCTGTTTCTCACTGTATCACTCTCTCTCACACTGTCTTTATCTTGCTAACACTCTCTCATTCTCTCTCTGTTAATCTTTCTTTTTGTTTTTGTAAAGTGTTTTACGGCGCTCGCAACTGCATAAGGTCATATGTGCGTGCGGGACACACCTAATATTTTCAGTTGGTAGGAAATTTTGAATTTTGCCCGGGTGGCGGCTGAAACCTACTCTTATCGATTTTAGACCACCAAGGGATCTTTAACGTGCGCAACTTGCACTCTGGCCCTCAGAGATTTTTCGCCCTTGTCTGAGAAGGCTAGGTGTAGATCTTTCCTACCAGAAGATCAGGGGTGTGGCAGAAAGACAGCAGTAAGGAGAAGCCAAGGAGTAGCAGTAGAAAGGCTGCAGAAAGAGTCAGGAGCCCAGAGGAGGGGGCAAAGGAGGTGAGGGGGTGGGGGCAGAAAGTGGAAATGAAAGCAGACAACAGAACATTGCTAGAGAGCAGGAAAGGAGGTGAAAGGAGACAATTTTAGAGAAGAAAATTTTTCGGTCGCTACCCGGATTTGAACCCGGGACCTTTGAATGAGAGACAAACACCTTAACCTCTAGGCCACGAGAGCCCCCGTTAATCTTTCTCTCTCGCGGCATGTCAAATGAAGACTCTGGGAAAGCCCCACTTGAGTTCACTACTTTTATTATATCTTCCTCAAATAAAGAACTAAGTTACGTTTTTATCTGGAAACCTGAAGAGACAGGAGTTCTAACTTTTACATACAATGAAGAGGGAGCATAAAGGGAGGCCCCAGACACTGTAACTCCAAACGCTAAAAATTCTAAGGGTTTTTTGTGTGTTTTGTTTTGTTTTTGTCACGTGTCCCTATTTGGTGCCACATATTTGTGAAAATGTGTCAGCATGGTAGTAAAGATGTTTCCACAAACACACACACACACACACACAAACGCACACACGTACACACACATACATACTCATACGCACATACACATACACTCACAAACACACACACACACACACATACACACATATACATATACACTTACACATAAATGCTCCTACGCTCATACTGGCACACAACTACACGTACACACATATGCACACACATACACTCATACACATAAGCACACACACACACACACACACACACACACACACAGACACACATGCACATTTTTTTGTAATGTACAAGTTATTGTGAAGTTGTTAACTGTCCATTTAAAGTAGTAGAAACTGCAGTGGGGTCTGATCCCATTATGAGTTTTTTAATTTAGACTTATTCACTGTGGCAATCCAACTGATGGGCTGAGTATCTTCCTCATCACTACATTGAGCAGTATCATCGGCTCGACTATATGCCTCTATAAATTCTCTAACTATTCTGACCCAGACTTTCTCAAACAATACCTGTGTTCTGATCTGAAAACTTTCAGGTTTTTTTCAAATTTATTCCCTTTTGTAATTTCTTATCATTTGATATATCATAATATGATATTCTGCTAAACAAGTAAAACAGATTCGTGCTGTCAGAAGAAATCACTCCCAGGAAAGAAAAAAAAAATGTAGTGAATAAGTTAAGGGCTATGAATGCCAGGCTGTGACCTTTGACCTTTGTGCCCACCACACAGGGATCTCCCGGTCCTCAAGGTCTGCCTGGCCGCGAGAGATTCCCTGGCATGATCGGTGAACCTGGTTACCCTGGTGAGGTTGGCCGACCTGGTCAGGATGGACCCGCTGGTTTCCCTGGTCGCAACGGACTGCCCGGTTTCAGGGGAGAGAAGGGTGAGTAGTTTTTTTTCTTCCTGACCTATTCATAGTAATATCCCCCTCTCCCC